TTCTCCAGGCCGGGGCTGAGGAGGCCAGCCCGGCACCTGCTGGTCACAGAGAGAGAACCTGGTGACACTAAGCGAATCAGTCCTTCAAGGCATGGCCGCCACTCAGCCAGCAGCCTGGTGTTCGCGCCTGGGGCGGGATGCGCGTGGGGTCGAGGCCTCGGGTCAGCGGCTGCCTCGGCAGCAGCACCTTGGGACGAGGGTGCTGCTGGCGCTCAACGTCTCCTTCTGCTCTCAGCACCCCCGGCCTCCAAGGGGGACCCCAAACGCCCACCTGAAACACCTGGCCCCCCTTGGCTGGGGCCAGATCCCTGCTGGCCTCGGCTCCTGGCCTCAGCGTGGAGACCCCAAGTCAGCCTCCGACCCTCCAGGAGCTGACGGTCTAAGTGGGAAACGGGCATGAAGCCACAGACAAGTCCCTGCCGCCACCAGAGTCGGAACGGGGAGCCCTGGGTGCAGAGGGAGAGAGGCCAATGCTGCCCTACTGGTGGGGGGCGGGGGGGCGCAGGCTTCACACGCAGCGACTGGAGGGCATAGGACTCTGCACATGTGTGCAGGGGGAAGAACATCCTCACTGCGGGGAGCGCGTGAGCCGCGGCCCAGCGTGGGGACGGGGGAGGACAGTGTTGGCCACTGTGGTTCGGGTGACACTGAGGTCATAGCTGTGGAAGAACAAGGAGCTTCCAGCACATTCTTTTCCATTTTCAGCAAGTTTTGCTGTTCCTTTCACTCTTTACAGCTGAAAAGCCTGTCCTTAGTGATTTTTTAGCTGTTCCCTCGAGCATTTACACACCACGCTGGCATTTCTATGTCATGAATATACCTGGGATATTAATGGGCAACAGGAAAGGCATTGATGGTCTTCTCGGGAGAACCCTGTCACCCCCAAACCTGCTCCCTCCAACCGACAGACCCAGACAGAACCCTGCAAGCGGGCAACACGCGGCCACCACGCAGAGCCAAGCCCAGAGCAGCGCACCTGCCAGCAAATCAGAGGCAGCTCGAATCGAGCCACACACCCCCAGTTCGGTGCCCAATCTTGACTTGCAAAGGAGGCCTTTATTAATCTCTTAAATCCCGTCTTGTCTGCCTGGAGGTGACTCCCGGAATATGATTTTAAATGCTTTCTGTGAGATGGTTGAACGGGGAAGAAGCAGGCTGTAGATTTCAAATCTGTAACTTTCTTATCCCAGAAGAGCCTGGCCCTTCCAGGGGTGGGGTGTGCGGGCAGGCCTGCTGTCCTAGGGAAGGGCTCCAGGTGACGTCCTGAGTGCCTGGATGACAGCAGGACTGACCTAAGGCCCGAGCTGCCCTCACCCCCATCCTGGGACACCTTCTGCTCCAGATACCGCAGAGGCCAAGATTTCTTTAAAAACAATAAGATTGTGCTGTTGCCTTTATATGATGCTACCAGATTCTCCCTACAGAAAATCGAGGTAGAGGAGAGAGAAAACCATAAAGAAGAAAATACGCCATGACCCCACCACCCAGACGTCAATTCTGGAACATTCCAGAGACTTTGCCCTCAATCTAACTCTGTAATTCAGGCTTTCGAATATCTTTTTAAAAGTCACGCTCCTACACAAACGTCCCCCAAATCCCCTCTGCACTTAGAATCAAGTGTCCTTGGCCCACAGGCCAATGTGAACAAGACCGCCCCTGCCCAGATGTTCTGTGTCCCCATCACCAGAAGGCAATCACACCCTGTCCCTCCCACCTCACTGTCATCCCGGTGCCTGGGACATGCATGGCACGTGGGAGGTTCCCAGTGAGACAGGCCAAATGGATGAATGAATACTTCCTTCCAGTCTTTTCTCCGTGTGTGTGTGTGTGTGTGTGTGTGTGTGTGTGTGTGTGTGTAAACTGCAGACACAGCTAAGATCATACGTCGACACTTCTCAGAAACTCCACACACTTTTGCGCACACATTGTTCTACCACTTCCTCCGGCTACTCACCCCCAGGGCTCGGATCAGATGCTCCCCCCTCCTGTGGGATGCACCCACGACACCCACCTCTACCCCAAGACGAGACCTGATCTGGCAAAATGCCAGCTCATGGAGACAATAATACCACGTTGACAAAACCAGATCACTCCTCCATCCTAAGGGGGCCTCAAAACAACCTACTTCCAAAGAGGTAGGCAGGGCAAGGGGTGCCTGACCACCTGCATCTAAGATGAGGCCACTCGGGGCACCTGGGGGGGCTCAGCCGGTTAAGCGTCAACTTCAGCTCCAGGTCACGATCTCATGGTCTGTGAGTTTGAGTCCCGCATCGGGCTCTGTGCTGACAGCTCAGAGCCTGGAACCTGCTTCGGATTCTATGTCTCCCTCTCTCTCTGTTCCTCCTCCACTTGTGCTCTGTCTCTCTCTCTCTCTCTCAAAAATAAATAAATGTATTTTAAAAATTAAAAAATAAATAATAAATAAATAAAATGAGGCCACCGAGACTCAGACAGGTCACGTGGCTGCTGTAATTACCTGAGGCAGGAAGCAGACCCAGGACATTTGGCCCCAAATGGCCCAGTCCACACAGTGACGTTGAATCAGAGAGGTTTCACCGTAAGAAGATACAAGAAAGGAGATATGGCGGAGCAAGAGCTCAGCTCCAGAGTCCCACCACCAGGGTTTGAATCCAAGTAGCTCTGCCACGTGCTACCTGAATGCCCTTGGGCAACTCCCTTCACTGCTACGGGTCTCGGTTTTCCCCTCTGTAAAATGGGGGTGACAAGCTCCTGCCTCATTCCGTTGTCAGGAGGGGAGGATTTGCTAATACACACCAAGGGCAGAGACCAGCGCCCCGCTCGGATTAACGTTCACGGAACCTTCACTGTCCAAGACCGTGCACCTGCCCTGAGGGAGGTGGACCTAATGAGCTCACAGCCAGGCTCTCAGCCCTGATCGCCACCTCCCAGGGCCCCAAACTGCCAGCCCACAGAGGCGGAGTCTCACTTCTCACTTTGGGCAACAGGCAAGCTCTCTAAAAGCCAGCTGCAAAACGGCTCCTAGGAGCTGCTCCTATATAAATTCTCGGTCACGTGCAAACTCCCGACACTCAGTCAAACAGAGGGAGGGGCTCCTCATTCCGGAGTCTGTAGCCCCCCGACCCCACCCTATCCCATTTGAATGACAGCCACTGACATCGGCAAACACCCCGAGGCAGCAAGGGGAGAAGCCTGGGGGGAAGGAAACTTGACCCCCTGTGTACGCTCATACTGCCACCTGCCACAACCCAGGCAGATAAATCCAGCCAGCTCCAGGTACAGATTACAGAAGACACCACACACACACACACACACACACACACACACACACACACAATCCCCATGGCACGTTTTTCTGACTTCGGTGAAGAGGCAGCTAGGACGACCTTTCTAAAATGCCCACCTCACCATGCTGGCTCCTCGGGATCCCCAATTCCCCTCACGTTCAGAGTCGCAGTCAGCCCAGCCCTCCTTTCTGGGCCCTCACCCTCCATGCCCCAAACCCCCTCACACCAGCCACAAAGCACACCTGACCTCAGCTGCCCCCTCGGCCTGAAATAGTCCCCTTCCCTGTACCAACTCCCAACTACTGAGTCAGGGCCTGGCCCAGAGGCCTCCCCCGCCAGGAGAAGGGCCACCAGCGGCCCCTGACCTGTGCTCCCGGAGCACACAGCATCATCCCCTCAGCACGGGCAGCTGTTTGGTCCACTCCTCCCCACCCCCTGCAGTGGTGGGACCTCATCGGAAGCAGTCCTCACCCTTGAGAACCTCAGGCCGACTCCTCTCCTTCTAACTGGGACGAAAACAGCACCTAGCCTCAAATTCACCCAGTTCCCGAAAGTCCACTAGGCAGTGGTGGAAAGGAGCCCGGCCCACGGTGGAGCCTGGCGTCGGCCTCGGGCACAACCTCTTGGCTCAGCCGAGCGCAGCCTCTCATCTTTGCAGACCCTGCATCAAGGGGGACGAGAAGCCAGCGGGGACCCCCGTCTAGGGGGCAGCCCGGGGCCAGGAGGCAGCACGCGGCAAGGTAAGGAGCCCCCGCCCTCTCCCATCCCAGCCTCCAAACATGTCAGCCCAAACGGGGCACCTGATCAGAGTCTCCCGTTTGGAAAATCAATATTTAAAGCTCCAAGCCTGCCAAGCGGAGGGGAAGACCTTGCTTGTAAATATTTGTCTTGACTGGCAGAGCCGGGCCTCTCGCTCGCTGCGGCTCCCCCGCCTCGCTCCTGGCCCTCTGCTTGCTGTGCTCCTAGCCAACTGCGCAGCGGGAGGGCCCTAGGGGTGGGGGTGGGGGGGACCGTCTGGCGGCCGAGCGGCGCTGGGCACGGAGGTGGGACAGCTCTGCACTCACACCTCCAAGACAGCACACTCGCACGCCGGGCGGCCCCCGGGCCACAGCAGAGAAGACTCGCCATGTGGTTTCTCTGGATTCCGAGCGAGCGCTTTTCCCAGGAGGCACTCCACATTTATGGGTTTTTGGGGGGAAAGCAAAAAGCTAAAGACAAATCCCTGGGGGGTTCGCTTATAAATCATTGTCCACCATCGCCCACCATCGAGCTACACTGCTTCTCCCAACCCGGAGGGGCCTGCACGGGTCCCCTGCCTGGGGGTCCCCTCACTGGGGAAGCCTTCATGACAGCGGTGGGCGGCTGAGCGGGTACAGACCAGCTGAGTGCCTGCTGCGGTATCACCGCTCGTAGAGAGGAATTCATTCATTCACCCATTCATTCATTCATTCACCAATTATTTATTGAGCACCTACCTGTCCCAGGCGCTGGGGGCTGGACACGCAAGTGGCCATAAACAAACCTGGGCAAAAGCCCTTCGGGGGGCATCTCCCAGGCCAAGGGAAGCTCACAAACCAAGTCAGGGCTGAGGCATGTGCTGGGGTAGGAGACGTCGAGGTATGAACGAGAGTGGGGAGTCCGGGAAGGCTTCCCAGGGGAGGTGGGCAGGCAGAGCGAGGCCGGAGAGGGGGGCCCCAGGCAGAGCAGGAAGGCCACCTCCCACCCGGCACCTACCGAGCCACTCGTTGAACTTCTTCACCTCGCTCGGGAGCCCCAGCTCCGTGAAGTCCCCGGCGTGGATGAGCACATCGCCGTAAGGCATCTGGACGGGGTCGGTCCTCGAATGGGTGTCAGACACACAGACAAAGCGGGTGTAGCCAGGCGGCTTGGGGGCATCATGAGGCACAGGGTCCACCCTGCAGGAAGAGAAGACACTGCAGGTGTGCGTGGCCAGCGCGTGGCCCAAGCCGCAGCTCACAGCCCGGCCAGCCCCGGACACAGACTTCCCAGGGGGCCCCGGGGGCTCCGAGTCCTGACTCTCCCACTCACTGGCCGTGCAAGACGTGTGTCCCCCTGAGCCTCAGTTTCCCCTTCGTAAAATGGGGCCCGCAGCAGTTGAAGGAGGTAACTAACAAGTGGAGAGTACCTGTGGGCACGGTGTGATGACGACAGCTGACCTGCTGTTTGGCCGCCGCGACCCTCTTTCCATCACCAACCCTTGTTAGACGCTTTTTTCCCCTATGCCCTCCCCTCCCATGAGATTTTAACCCCATAGATAACTGTCCATGTCCTCTATGTATATCTGGGCTTTATAAGAAAAATAAGCTTTTTTCACCCCCTAACAAGTTTCACCCCCTCAGAGACGCCATCAGCCACATCGAAAAATGCAAGCGCTATAGTCGCTGGTCCAAGGGAAAGAACTAGGCCCCCAGCGCTGTGCCGGGTGCACACAGCATCCAGGAAGAGACGTGTGCAAAAGTGGGGGGTGGTAGGATTTCTTAGGAGCTCAGAAAATCAAGGCACGAAAGAGACGCAGCAATTTTTCAAAACTGTGAGCTGGTCCCATCATCTTTAAAGCAAGGGCTTCCCAGGGTTGTGTAGACAACAGGTCCCTGAATCGGACCAGGCTTCAAGTCCCAGCTCTGCCGTTTATCACTAACGTGTGACCTTCAGCAAAACGCTTGGCCTCGTTTCACCCGTCTGTAATATGGGGCCACCTCACGGAGCAAAACAGTATCAGAAAATTAAAAAGAGCTGCAGAAGGGCAAGTTCTTGCTCCGGGAAGCCCATCACAGCCCCTCTGGTTTCGAAGACAACGCCACGGAGTAAGCGGGCCCGCGTGTCCCGGAGAATGAAGCTAGATTGTGGCTCCCAGACCGGTGCTCCCCACACCACGCTCAGCATCCTCAGCCGAACGACTCTGCCAGGCTCAAAACTCTTAAAAACAACGCGATGACATTTCAATGAGCAGCTCTCTCCAAATGAGTATGCCACTCCAGGAGTTGTGTTTAAATCTAATTATGCGGCAAACCAAAAGCGGTACCGTATCAGTTACATAAATACTTTTAAAGACATCTTTCTAATTATCCTTTTTTTTTTTTCCAGACAATATACTTCGAAGAAATTTAATTAACACCTTACGAGAGACGTGGGTTCGGCATGCTAATGTGCCGGGAGCACGAGAACGCTCCAGCCACCACCATGGGCGGCGCCAAGCCGTCCCCTCGTCCCCCGGAGGGAGCGCTTAGTTAGCAAGCCAAGTTAGACTCCCGGCGGGTCAGGGCGGGGCATGACCCTGACCGGGGAGAAGAGGAAACCTCCCCAGAGATGACCCACGAGAAGGCCCTGGGGCTCCCCCTCTTCCTCTTGCCTCCATCCCTCCATTCATTCAGTCACTCATTCGTTCAGCCAAGCACATTGTGTCCACCCACCGTGGGCCACCCCGGGCTCAATGCTGGGGCCCCAGGGATGAACCGGGCCTGATCCCAGGCCAGGAGGCCACAGACTGATGGCGGAGGCAGACTTGGCCAGGCAGTGACAAGAAGGCCACCAGCTTTGACGGGGCAACAGAGAGAAGCTGGGGGCCAGAGAAGGCCCCTATCCAGCAAGAGGCTCCCTAGAAGCTTCTAGGAGGAGGTGAGACCTGAGCGCTGGTCTGGGGGCTAAAAACTCCCTGCCATTCCTCTGTCCTCGGAGTCCCTGCCCTCCTCCCCTGCCCCCTGCCCTTTGACAGACAGTCTGCAGGTGGCAGATCACCTGTGCGGCCAGCCTGCCCCCAGCACAGCCAACTGGACAAAGGGCGGCCTTGTCATGGCACAGGGACACGAGTGAGCCGATCAAATTCCTCCCTTCCCTCCTTCCCTCCTCCCTTCCTTCCTTCCCGCCTTCACCCCTACACACACCGAGGTTGTGAGCTTGCCGAAGGTGACAGAGACCAAATCAAAGAGACAGAAAGAGCTGATGAAGGGAGAGACAGGAAGCGAGATGCCACTCCAGAGCCCCTCTGGTCCCAACAGCCTCTCCTGTGAACCCCTCAGGGTGGAGCCTGGGCAGGCCTCAGCCCCACCCACCAGCAGCCAGGGCTCCTTCGGGCTGGGCCGGCTGCTGAGCCGAGCCCAGCCCGGGCGCTTTAATTAACTCTGTTCTTACTTCCCTCCACCCCGAGGCTACTGAGCTCAGTGAGCATGCAAACCTAATAATCCCCAGAGGAAAAAATAAAGATTCTTGCTTCTCTGCACGGTCCTCCTGCTGTGTGGATTGTAACAGATGCTCAACCTTGAAATCATGACAACAATGATGAGGGCGACGTTAGGCGCTTCCCACAGACGGAAGGTCATCGTGCGCTAAGCACGTTACCTGCACCCACCGTCTTCACGCTCACCGTGACTGTCTGGGCAGGGTACTGTGGGTATGCCCATAGTACAGATGAGGAAACTGAGGCTCAGGAAAGCCTTGCCCAGGATTTCAGCTATGCCGGCCGGTGAGTCTGCAATTCGAAACCAGTCTTTAGTTCCAGAACTCCCAGCGGACTAGACTATTTCCAAACCCATCTCATGTCATTCAGTCTATGGACAAACGCTTCCGGAGTGACCCCTAGAGGCCAGGCACCTGCCAGGCACAACGGATATACCTATGGACAGGATACCCACTGAGGCCGCCTCATGGAGTTCCCGGAAACTCAGGCTGGAAGTGTTTGGAAGGGAGGAAAAGAAGAGTCAAAATATGGAGAAAGAAAGGGAGAGAGAGAGAGAGAGAGAGCAAGCACATACAAGAAGGTGGGGGAACTTAACAGCCTAAGTTGATCCCTAGATCCTGAAGTCGGGTCCAAACACAGACTTCCTCACTAATTAAGTAAGCCAGTAAATAAACTCGTTTATCCTTCAGGCGATTTACACGGAGTGTCTGACCCTTGTAATGCCACACCCCGGCTAACACCTGTCACAGCCACACTGCGGAGTCCCTGAGGCGGGAGAAGTCAGTCCCATACCCAAGGCTCTGGCTCCTAAGTTACGGGCTAGATTGGAACCCGGGTCTTCACGACAGGAATCTGGGCATCTAACCTGCTGAGGTTAACAAAGCAAAACAGCTATTTTCCAGGGACACGCTGCGGGTGCCAGAGAACAGGTGATGGCCGCAGCCCTCTCTCTGAGACCTGAAACCTGTCGCCACCTCTCCCCAGCCTAACAAGGGATAGTCCCACAAGCATCACGGCAGCAGGAAGGGTGCAGAATAGAGAACACGGCCTCCAGCAGTCAGACCACGGCACCCCCTGGCCGTGCCCTGGACCCTCCCAGCCTCCATCCAGGCCAGCTCTCAAAGGTGGGGGCCACCCACTCATTCTTGGACAAGGCAGGAGAGCTCATGGACTTTCACAGCTGGAAACCTGGATGTGAGTGCCCCCTGCAGCCATTTCCCGGGCCCCCTCCTGGGGCCTCCCTCTCCCATCAGCCACTGGCTCCCTGGAAGCACAGCTCCTGGGCCAATCACTCCCCCGGACGTCAGAAGCAAAGGCCATCTTCCCCCTCATCTCTCCTTCTGGGGAAATGGGGAGCTCTGAAGGCCAGGGAGCTGGGGGACAGAGGACTCCTCCCTTCAGTGAGGCTCCAGACATGTGCCTGGGCAGCAGCCGTGGTGTTTCCCAATGGGAGAGTCTGCCAATTCCCTCCCCCCCATCCTACCGTGGGGAAACTGAGGCCCAGAGGAGGGGCAATGACTGGTTGGCTCAGTGTCACACCACCGTCCTGTGCCCTTTTCGCGAGACCCTCGTTCTGAGTCCTGCGCTGCCCCACCTCTCAGCCTTTGCTTTTGCTGGTCCTCCAACCCCAGGGATTATGCCACTGCCCCCAGGAAGCCCTCCGTGATCTCCCCCACTCTTCCAGGGCCATACTCCCCGCCTTATCCTCACTCCCTATTCTCTCTTCTTTCCATCTCTCTGCTGTGCTAGGCTCGAGGGACCAGCCCCATGCTGGTGGCAGGGACAGACCCTAGAGCTGGGGGGTAGGGGTCAAGGGAAGGGGAGATCTGGCCTGGGGAGCAGTCAGAGGGCCTTCCTGTGGAGGTGACATCTGGGTGGGATCTAAAGAATGAGTCCATGTTAGCAGGGCAGAGCATGGAGGAAGCACAATGAATAGCATGTGCAGAGACCTGAGGCAGAAGGATGCACGGAATGTTCCAGGCTTAGTCCTCGCCTCCTGCCTTGCCCCTTCACCCGCTTCCTGGGCTCACGGCTGACGCTCACTGTCTCCTGGGGGCCTCTCACTGGATGGACGGGCTGGAGCCACAGGACCCCTTCTGAAGCCGCAGCCCATCAGAGAGGGATCAGTGCGCTGACCCGCTGCAGTGGGAGGGCCAGGAGCCAGGCATGGGGGGGCCTCCCCAGGCCTGACACACAGCCCCCCTCCCCTGACTCTGCTCCATTCTTCAAGACATGCTAGAAGGGTCTCTTAACAGGAAGACTCGAGTCCCTGCTAACAGGACTCCTATTAAAGGCAGAGAAAAGAGTCCTTACACTTGGCACCAATCCCCAGGGCACCTCTAGGGCAGACCACCCTCCCTCCCCCCAGTGACCCTGGCCTGGCCGTCAAGCCTCCTCCCTGGCCACCAGGCCCCATGCCCACCAGCCCACCCAGGTCAGAAGGGCTGGTGCCTGGAGGGGCACTCTCTAGGCCACCGCAGGGTTTCTAGGTTCCTCAGAGTGAGGGGTCCCGGGCCTCAGGGACCCCGAACCCGGAAGCCCACATCCAGACATTCATTACCAAGGCCGAGGCTGCCTTGTCACCACCAGGGTCTCTGGGGGCAATCACATAAATCACACGGCTCAATCGGAGGCCATGTTTGGCTTGTCACTGTTGTTATTAAACATAAATTGTGGATTTATTAAATAAGGCCCCCTCACTCCCTCACCCGGGAGACAAAGCCCAGGGCAGCGATAAATCAGGTGCGGGGAAGCAGCATCCATCCTCCCTGCCTCTCCCTCGATGGAAACTCGCCATGGAAACCCCAACAGCCGCCTCCAGCAGCCCGCATGCTTCCCTCGAGCTCAGGGGTCTGAGAGGAGGGGGCGGGACGCAGCAACGCCCCCCACCCCAGCCCCCGGGCCCCTGCATGGCTCTGGCTTCACCCAGCTTTATGCAGAGCTCTGTTTCAGAGCCCTCCTCGTCTGAGGGAGCACTTGATGGGGAGCCCAGCACCAGGGCTCAGTGCATGCTCTCCCCGGGGGCAGGGCCTAACCCCTGAGCCCCGCTGCCAGCAGAAACCTGGAACCCCAGGTCAGAGCAGGCAGGGAGGGACAGGAACGGGCATGACAGGGTGAGCCTGCTCTGTCTGCTCTAGCTGGGTGACCACAGGAAAGCCAGGAGGCATTTTGTCCATAGCACCAGCGGTGTACACTGTGACACGCTTCCGGGACATGTGTGTTGCCTACTGCCCACGGGAATGTCAGCGGGCACGGCAGGCAAGTATCTTTGATCGCTGCCGTATTCCAAGCACCTTGTCCAGCCCAGTGTAGACTAAATACGAAACATGTACTATGTGGCCCTGCTCTGTGTGGATCTACCTACCTAATCCTCCTCATTTGACGGACAGGGAGACTGAGGCACCAAGAGCCACTTTGCAAGTCAGTGGCAGAGCCAGGGTTCAGAGCCAGGCAGGGGGCTCGGGGCGCGTGTTTCTAAGGGCATGCTACACACCTGTTACAAACATCCTGAACCCGCAGCTGCTCATGGGTTAAACGGGGGAGAGGACCCCTCTCCCGTGTGGTCACTCACCGCCCTTTCTCAGGACACAGCCCAGGCTGCAGGGGTCTGCACTGGAAAGCCTCCCCTCCCCGCCCCGCCCCGTTTCTGCATTTCTCACCCATCCCCTTGCCCTGACCCTCTCCCAGCTTGCTGCCCTCACCCATCTTCCTCGGGGTCTCAACCTAGAAGTCATCTTCTCCAGAGGGTCCTTCCTCCGCCCCCTGGCCCTCCTGCCCTCCGACCTCCTGTTTCCCGAGCTCTGTTCGGGGGGAGAGGCCTGCCTGGGTGTCTGCCGGGCCCAGACAGGGGCACTGTAAGCAACAGCACGGTGCCACGTGGCATTAGCTCTGGTACCCAGGGATCCTTCTTCCTTTTTTTTTTTTTTAAATGTTTACTTATTTTGAGAGACAGAGAGCAGGGAAGGGACAGATGGAGAGGGAGACAGAGAATCCCAATCCAAGTGCAGAGCCCGATGCAGGGCTCGAACCCACAAGAACCATGAGATCGTGACCTGAGACAAAACCAAGAGTCAGATAACCAACAGAGCCACTCAGGTGCTCCATCCTGGGGGCCCTTCTAAGTGGGGGTGCACAGGGGCACAGGCCACATGAACACCACCTGCTGTGCCTGAGGGCCATGTGCCACGTCATTCCCACTGGGGCAGGAGCCCAGCATCCAGGGACCTCAGGCCGGGTCCCATCCAGCCCGGGAAAACCACCCCATCAACAAAAGAGAAGACCCCACCTGGAGATGGGCCTCCTCCCTGCAGCAGCCCTGCTGGGCCTCAAGGTCCCAGACACTAAGAAACAGAATGCTGAGACCCTCCTGCCCCGATCTGCCCATGTGGCCCCAAAATGGAAATAGGAGGCCGTCTCCCAAGTAGAAACGTGCCGAAATATAAAGCAGAGAGCTACTGACAATGCCAGGCCTCAGTCCCCCCAGGAAAGAGCACTTTTCCAAGCAGGCACTGAGCGAAGCTGGGATCCCAGTGCTGGAGCCCACCCCAGGCCAGTGCCCGTCTGCCTCCCTCAGCCCTTCCTCCCGTGAAGAACCTCTCCGCATCCACCCTTCACAGCAGAGGATGGCTCCCTCCCCCCACCTCCCAGCCTGGGATTGGAAACCCAGCCCCACCCCCCACCCCTGGGGCTCCTTCTCCAAAGTGGTCCACGTGCCGGAATCTCCAGTGTCCCCAAAGGAACAGCCGCCGGGCCCCACATAACCAGTTCTCCCTAGAGATGGTGCTCGCAGCCCCAGAGGAAGCAGCAGATAGAGGAGGAGGAGGGTCTCCTAGGAACGCAAGGAGGCTGGTGCGGAGGGTGTTTAGCGGCTTCCTCCCTGGGCCCCTTCATCTCTCCAGACTTTAGAAAACAACCCAGGGAGGGGAAAGTTTCCCGCCACCAGTCTCAGGGGACCACGAGCCTGTGCCCTCGCCCAGGCCTTACTGCTGGGACACTGCTGGTATTTTCCATCAGCCCCAAGGGGAAGGGAGCAGGACTTCCCAGTCCTTCTGGAAAGCATCTCTGCTGTCTCAGCAGAGGCAAAAGGGGTTTGGACAAAAGGGAGGGAGGGATGGAGGTCAAGGAAGACAGCCTGAAACTAGGGCCCTAGCCTGTCTGGATCCTGTAGCAAGCCCCTTCCCCCTCTGGGCCTCAGTCTCCCAATCTGTACAATGAGGAACAAGAATGAGACCAGGAGTCACCAACTCAAATACCAAGAGGGGGCGGCTGGAACTCAGCCCCCGCCCCCACCTCTGACATCGCCAGGAGGCCACTCAGGCCAGCAACTGCCAGGCCTCGTGGGTTTGTAAAGCAAAGCCAGAGAAGTCTGGAATTTTATGTGCCATCACCTCATTTTTAAATATTTGTAAAACATCTCCTGGCCAACTGAAACAGGACTTGGAGCCAGGATCGGCCCACAGGCCCTCCCAGCAACTTCTCACACATCCCTCCCGACTCGGAGCCTCCGTGATCCTGCCACTCCAGAACCGTTTCCGTCAACAAGAATAAACCACCGTGGGGCTGAGGCCCCTCCCCCGCCCCGGCCCCGCCCCGCCGCGAGCCCCGCCCCGCCGCGAGCCCCGCCCCCAGGCCCGCCCCGGCAGAGCCCCGCCCCGCCGCGAGCCCCGCCCCCAGTCCCGCCCCGTCTGAGCCCCGCCCCGCCCGAGCCCCGCCCCCAGACCCGCCCCGCCCGAGCCCCGCCCCTCCGCGAGCCCCGCCCCTCCGCGAGCCCCGCCCACTTACATCTGCACGTGCGGGGGCTGGAAGCGGCCCTGGTTGATGTTGTAGAAGGTGAAGGCCTGCGTGGGGTTGGAGCTGTACTCGTCCACCTCGATGATGAGCCGGCTGTGCTGGTGCCTCCGAGCGGCCATCACGTGGGACTGGGAGAACGCCATGCCCAGGCCGCAGGGCAGCAGGGCCAGGGCCTCGGCCTTCAGGACACCGGGGTCCCACCTAGCGCGCCACATGGGCCCCCGCGGGCCGCCCGGGCATCTCCCGCCGCCGCCGCCACCGCCGCCGCCCGGCCCCGAGCCAGACCTGGGAACAGACTGAGGAGACGGAGCAGAACCGCACGACAGTGAATCTGTTTGGGATTTTGCTTTATTTAATGTCAGATGAAGATTTAGAAAGAGGAAGGGGGGGGGAGAGAAAAAAACACAGTCATACAGCTCAAAAACTCATTACAGATCTTTCCAACTCAGCAGTTTGATGAATATACTCGGGTAAAAAGAAAAGGAAAAGGGAGGGAAGGGACCAAAAATAAATAAATAAATAAAAGCCCGCGGCGCGGGGAACGGATGCGTGCGGGGTCCGATATGTTTAAATACTTAAGACTTTTTTGTTTCTTTGACAAAATCCTCCAGAACCCACAGGGTGACCTGACATGGAGGGAGACAATGGCAGGTCCTCTGTACACAGGTAAGGGAAGTTGTACTTTTGGGAGTTGGGGAATCGGGAGGATTCCCCTCCAACCCCACCCCTTCCCACAGACCCCCACACACACAGAACACACCGCACCCACACCCCCCTGCAAGCCCGAGCAGGTGCAGAGCAGGGTGTGAAAATTCCTTCCTCAACATCAATGTCGCCTAAAGATATCTCTGAGCAGGGCCCTGGAGAAGGGATTTTCCCAGACAGACTGCAGTACACCAACTCAGCTCAGGAGGTGGCCTAGGGAGGAGGTGGGGGAGGGGGGGGCAAGGGAGGATCTGCTTAAAAAAAAAAAAAAGAAAAAACCCTTCCCGAAAGCCTTATAAGGATCTCAGGAATTCTGATGTTCCCCAGGCAAACCTCGAATCCACACAGAAACGCAGCTTGCAAATGCCATCCTCAGAAAGTGCAGTTTGCATCTGCAGCTACTAGGTTTTAATGTCCTTTTGACTGATTCCAACGTGGCTTGGTGGAATCCTGGGAACAGACTTGGGGGTGAGGGGGGCCCCGGCTAAGCCTTCATCCTACAGCTACACGCTCACACCCTGCCTTGAATGGCCAGTGCCTCCTTTCCCAACACCGGCTAGCTTCCCCATCCCTTGCCGTGATTATCCTTTTAAACTGTGTAAATAGATAAGGTCTTGAAGATAGTTTGTCGTGTTTTGTTTCAACGTGGGGTCACGAAGACCCTCCGAGGATTCCGTGACCGGAGCGCTGAACCAAGGAGAAAATAACATAATTGAAACTCTTCTTGGTCAGTTATATCCCAGTCACGTTAAAGGAAGAAAAATCCCCTTCGCTTTGCACGGGGAGGAAGAATCGACGCCGTCAGAAAACAAATTAGATTAGGAAAATGACAAAAATTAGAGACTGGAGAACATTTTAATTACGTGCGAAGGAGAAATGGATTATTAATTTTTTAAAAATCTCAACAATCATGCCTATACAAGGTGTAATAAACAACAATACCCTCCTCTTCTCCCCCCCCCCCAAAAAAACCGCATCCTGATTCACGACACAAATCCCTCCCTCTTCTCCACTTGGGAAAACAAGAAAAAAAATTCTGCTTTCCCCCAAGACACACTTGCTGCTGTTCTTTGTCCTGCTGATTCGGTTCTCCTGGCAGATCTGGCCGGGCCGGCCTCGGAGGCGGCCAGTGGGGGTGTCCTGGCCGTGGGACTCACACAGTCCCTGTGGGAGGTGGCCCGTGCCCACCCATGTCCAGCCGACCCTGGGAGAGGCCTGGAGACACCAGACATTGTGGACCAGTCCTCCAAGGGCCCAGATCTGGACAAAGGTTTGAGCCCCATCACTGCACTGACTCACTGTGTGACCTTAGGCCAATGTCCTAACCTGTCTGAGCCTCAGCTTCCTCTTCTGGAAAATCAGTATGATAACAACCACCACCTCTCAGGGCAGCTGTGCAAGTGAAATGAATGGGGAACCTGAGCACAGCGCCTGGCAGGTACCAATACTCCGTGTCACTATGATAATCACTCTTCCCTTCAATGTGGCACGTGCCCACGGAGGGCCTGCTGCGAGCAGGTGCGGCCCAGACACCGGGGCATCTGGGGAACGTGGCTGTCAAGGGTGAGCTCCGGGAGCCCTGGAGAACCCGAATTTTCTCAAAGCCAAGCCTACCTATCACATCCCTACCTGAAATCCCTGTCACGTCTTTGCACGGCTTCTCTAACGAGGGTCCATGCCTCAAGGCCCTGCACGGCCTGGCCCTGCCCACGCTCCAGCCACGCCGCCCCGTGCCCAGCGGGCTCCAGCGCCCAGAGGCCCTCAGCCACGGGGTGCTGTGCTCGTGTTCAGAGCTGCCCCAGCCAACACTTCACAGGGGTCTTCTCCCTCAGGCTCGCCACTGACCATTCCTGCACAGAGGAGGGAGGCCTGTCTCAAGGAGGGGAAGTCTCTTGCCCAGCACAGCACAGACAGAGGGCGCCACTGAGCACTAGCGGGAAGCAGCCTGACTCCAGGGCTCTGGCTCCTTCCTCCCGGACCTCTTTGCCTTCCTCTCTAGCTGGCAAAAGCTGACTTGCCCGTTACCCCTCGACAAAGCCAGCATTTCTCCAGAGATGGGGGCCCTCATTCCAGGGTGCCATGAAGGGCCAGACGTCTCCTGGAGGCGGCGCCTGGGTCTCACTCACTGCCCACCCCCGGGCATCAGCTCCAACCCTCAGCAGCGCCGCAGTCCTGAGCCACGGGCTTCACTTCCAGGAGGCTTCCGTTTGCTTCTCCATGACATGGAGAGAAAAACAGTACCTACCTCATTCGGGCACGAAGATTCATTGAGGTGACATGCATACACTGCTTGTCACAGGACCCAGCACATAATAAGTGCCCAACAAATGTCAGCTATTGTAATGACATTATTAACATCACCCCAGGGCCATCACAGACAGTTCATACACACTGGATTAGTGACTGCATGGCCAGATGGGGGGAGGGAGGGAGGGAGGGAGTGTTGGGGGATGTATAGATGGATGGATGGATACCTGAATGGATGGATGGATGGATGTGTAGATGGGTGGATGGATGAGCAGATGGACGGAGGGAAGGAGTATTGGGGGGATGGGGGGATGGATGGACGGATGGATACACGGATGGATGGATCGATCGATGGGTGGATGGATGAGTGGATGGATACATGGATGGATACATGGATGGATGGATGGATGGATGGATGGATGGATGGATGGAGAAGCAAGAGTTCATGTCGTGCCACTCTCTTTCCCTAGTGCCCAGCACAGGCCTGGCAGAAGGTGGGTGCCAAGAGGCCTCAGCTCAAGGTCGAAGACTCATGGCCCCACCACACAACCCCGCTAGGAGGCTGGGCCAGGCTGGCCACAACCTTCTGAAAGGGGAGGTCTCAGGCACTTCCATCTGAGGGCAGGAGCCTACGTGGCCTGCCTTCAGGCCTGCAGCAGGGGAGGCTGGCTCTGCACCAGGGGACTCAGCCAGAAAAGCAGGCAGCAGCGCATCCCGGGAGGCGCTCCGCAGTGAAATGCTGCATTTCACATAAAGGGGGTTCGCAATGGGCCCTGCTTGAAGAAATCAGGGAAACTGGGAACGCAGAGCCTTCTTTTAATACCCATTTAATATTTATGGAGCCGCAGCAACGCGTCAGCCACCGTGTGGAGAACACAGCCGATCCGCGGAGGGGAGCAGCGTTTCCCAAACAAACAGCTTTTAGCTGAGAAGCGTTTACACCTGGTCCACAAAACAGCACAGCATGTGGGCAGCGCAACGGGCCCGCCGGGACCCCGCCGGGGACTGCTGTGTGGCTGGTGCCCTGACTCTCCATCCAGCAGAGTGACCTTGAGCAGCACACACACCCTGGCCAGGCGGCAGGTGCCTCCTCTGTGCCAGTGCGTGGGAAGAAGACGCAACCAGGAGGAGGGGGAAGGGATGGGGATGAATTCATTAATGCCTTTATTTATTCAATAAACATTTACCACCACCGTCACTGTTTCAGGCACCAGAAAGAGCAAGGAGAAAGCCAACAGGTCATTGCCCTTAAGGGAAGGGAGGGGGGCTGGGCAACAGAGTAAATCCACAAGTAAATAGAAAAGATACTTTCAGATAATCTCATGCCCAGAAGGAGCTAGAACAGAGCGACACAATAATGAGTAATGGGGAAAAGGGGATTGTTACTTAAACTTGGGTGATCAAGAAGGGTCTGTCTGAAGAGGTGACGTCACCTCAAATGCTAGGGCTGAGAGTGAGCCAGCCACACCCAGGCCCGGGGAAAGAGAACCAAAGCGAGCCCTACGAAATGCAGGAAGAGCAAGTGCAAAGGTCCTGAGGCAGGGGAAGCTTTAAGAAATGCTCTCTTATTGTTTTTGTTCTCAACCACCGGTGTGCTTCTGCAATGGAGGAGAGCCTGAACTTTGAAGTCAGAGGCAGTGGGTTCAAATTCAGCCTCCAGTGCTGCTTAGCTGTGGGACCCCAGGCAAGTCACTTAACCTCTCTGAGCGTCCACTGCCTCATTAGTCCCCTCTCAGGATAACCGAGGAGATGAAGTGAGCCTTGTGCCTGCCTCTCCAGAAAGACCCAACCAGCCCAGTTAGGAGAGCTAAAATTTCTTGAAATTTCTGGGTTGAAAACTTGTTGAAAACGTGCCTCCATTTCACAGGGCTCACTTCTCCAGCCTTCTTCTTGCACAAAGTGATCTTTCTGTTTCCCTCTCAAAGACATTTACTCGTTGGTCCTCAGATGCCACGAGTCGAGTCAAGCCAGGGTTCTCGAAGAGGAATCGACATCAGCCGAGGCACCAAGTAGCAAGTAGCTACTAGGCGCCAGCTGTATGGCAAGGTCATGTGTAGGAACGAGGCCAGCTCCGGGCCCTGTGCTCTCTGCCCGCACAACCTTGTCTGGCCTTCTCCTGCCGAACGGCCAAGGCCACTGCCAAGCCAGCCTCCAGAATGAATGTCCTAAAATGCACTTTGGACCAAGCCATTCCCTCCCGCTCACCAAATGTCCAGCTGCTCTGGGCTACAGCCCCAGCTCCTTAGATGAGCTCAGGAGGCCA